TGTCGCTAGATCTGAAGCAGTTCGGATTACTAGTGGGTGCTTAGTAACAAAGCATGAAAATAGATGGCAGTCAATTCAGCTACATGACATCTGTTTTGCAAAGATATGTATATAATAGATATGTAGGTAACTGTATCGTGTACCTCATTAGGGACGATTCAAGATTCAATGTAAATGTGTAGGTATAATATCGTTAGCCGACACTCTGCAGATATGGCTTATGTGCCAATGTATATACCTATTATGTTATGGTTTATTTTACATTCCATGCCTATTTTTTTGATATGTTGTAACGCGTCTGCGCTATACGTATAGCCTGATTTTGATACGTTTATACTCGTACGTATCAAAATCGGGCTATACGTTTTTTTATTTCAATCGTTATATGTATGAGACTGATTTTAGCTACAATTAATTTACTGGTATATACCTCATGTATTCTACGAAGAGGGGTACCTCTTTTACCTAATGAGAATTCCGTTATATCTTATATTGTTGGATCGTCATAAAAATAATTAAAATAAGTTGTAAGACTATTGGGCTGCGTGCGGTATTCAACGACCAACTGCCGCCGGCCTCCCGTTACCCAACCGCTACCGGGGTATCTGTTGCTTAGCAACGAGCCAACAGCGCGAGGCTACCGGCGGGTGCGCCGCTATATATATATATCTACTTAGTGGTAGTGTATTACAATATATAAATTTTGTATCACAGTGTTAGTTGCCATATTTCTCCCATGATGAAAATTGATATGTATACTTGCCAGGTCTGAGGTAGGGTTGTTATCTATTTTTTATACCCCTAAGTCATAGGGGTGGCCTACCCCGAAAAAATATTTTTTTGTATTATGGACAATTTTTTTTTATTTATAATGTTACATTGAAAATACATACACGCCTAAATTTTCACCCGTCTTTCACCAACCCCTATTTTTAATAGCGATATTCTTAAAAATATTATAAATGCTAAAGTAACTCAGTCTGTCTATTTGTCTCGCTTTCACGCCAAACATTCTGAATTACTCGTATATCTTTCAATATCTTTAGCGGTATAAACCAGGTTATGTACTACTACTAGTATTGTTAGTGAGGGATAAAGTTGATGAACAAAAATAAAACAATATTCGTATTAAAAATATATTCATCTAATATTTTTGGCATTATTTTTAAGTTTCTTCCAAATACAAGGGGTCTGACATGGGGTGTTATGTACCTACATTAAAAGATACTTTTTGAAATGTATGAAATGTATGTATCTACATTAAAAGATAATTTTTGACATCTATGAAATGTATGAAAGAAATGTATGTACCTACATTAAAATATAATTTTTGAAATGTATGAAAGTAATGTATGTACCTACATTAAAAGATAATTTTTGACATGTATGAAATGTATGTACCTACATTAAAATATAATTTTTGAAATGTATGAAATGTATGTATCTACATTAAAAGATAATTTTTGACATGTATGAAATGTATGAAAGAAATGTATGTACCTACATTAAAATATAATTTTTGAAATGTATGAAAGAAATGTATGTATGTACCTACATTAGAAGATAATTTTTGACATTTATGAAATGTATGTACCTACATTAAAATATAATTTTTGAAATGTATGAGATGTATGAAAAAAATGTATGTACCTACATAAAAAGTTCATTTTTGAAATGTATGAAATGTATAGAATAGAATAGAATAGAATAGAAAATCATTTATTCAAATAAACTTACATTGAAGCACTTTTGAATAGTCATAACATTTTTTTTTTTTTTAATCTACCGCTCATTCGGAATGCTGTCTCATCACAAGAAGAACAAGCAAGAAACTTGTGTGTTGCTCTTTTAAATAATTTATTCTTACTTACAATTTAAGTTTAAGTGTGTGAATACAAACCACCGATTAGCACTAATTCAATTAAATACTCAAAAAGAAAAAAATATTGAACACATAACCAACTGGTTAAACAATTAATAAGAGGAAATCAGTCATAGTGATTAGAGCAGACCAGTCCCTACAAGCAGCACCCGTTCACGAGTATGACGGATGAGCCAGCCATCACTGCGCTCGACCATATTTTAGGGAGCCCAATGACCCGGCCCACCACGCCGCCACAAGTCTGGACATTTTAGTGAGCATGACTACTCAAAACACCAGACCACGTCATAGCTACTCACAATTGCCATCTGATGTTTACAGTATTCACATTTCACATAAGAATGCATGCGGCAATTAATACAAAACCCGCTACGCTTTCATATTTCTAAAATAATTGAATCAAGAAAGCAATGAGATAAACAAATTATAACGTTGTATGCTAATAAACTAATTATTTACTTGATATATTGTCTTCTATGAATTCGTCTATCCTGTAATAGGCTTTCTTACATAAAAATTGTTTAATATAAGATTTGAATTGCCTCTCTGTCAGATTTAGTGCAGATTCTGGCAGTTTATTATAAAATCTTACGCAATTACCATAGAATGAATTACTGACTTTGTGCAGGCGGCATTTAGGTAAAATTAGCTTATTTTTATTGCGTAAGTTTCTATTTGTACAGTCTTTAAGTTTTCTAAAACTGTCTAAATTCTTCCGCGTATACATGATATTCTCATAAATGTATTGTGAAGTAACGGTGAGGATATTTGAGTCTTTAAAACACTGACGTAATGACTCTCTTGAACCCATACCATAAATAGAACGTATGGCTCTCTTTTGTAAAATAAATATAGTATTTATATCGGCTGCTTTACCCCACAGTAGTATACCATATGACATAATGCTATGGAAATAACTAAAGTATACAAGTTTAGCCGTCGCCACGTCTGTTAATTGCCTAATTCTTCTAATTGCATATGCAGCTGAACTGAGTCTATTGGCCAATTTTGAAATATGGGGCCCCCATTGTAATTTCGAGTCCACTGTTATACCTAAAAAAACTGTATCATTAACAAAATTTACTATTTCGTCATTAAGCAATAACTGTGTATTTATTGGTCTTACATTAGGAAGTGTAAATTTTATACACTTTGTTTTGCTGGAATTTAATAATAGGTTATTACATGTAAACCAATTTAATATAGCAGACATAGCACAATTTACATCGTCTAATTGATTAGTTTGACGTCCAATTTTAAACACTAACGAAGTATCATCCGCAAACAGCACTATATCTGCAATTTTCTCTACCATAAAGGGAAGGTCATTTATGTAAATTAAAAAGAGAAAGGGGCCTAAGATTGACCCTTGTGGAACGCCCATCCCAATATTAGCTCCCTTAGATTTTATACCGTCAATATCTACAGTTTGGACCCTATCCTCTAAATAAATGTACCTACATTAAAAGATAATTTTTGACATGTATGAAATGTATGAAAGAAATGTATGTACCTACATTAAAATATAATTTTTGAAATGTATGAAAGTAATGTATGTACCTACATTAAAATATAATTTTTGAAATGTATGCACCGTACAATAACAATACACGTTAAACATCATACCACAGAGTCATACGCAAGTTAAAAACAAACTGCTATGATATTAATGAGAAAGGAAAATCAACTTTATGGTATTCGAATTAGGATCGATTTCTCTCTTTTTTTAAATACTAATTTAATCTTACCAGTTGCCAGTATTCGAAGACAACTACGATTCGTACTCGATATTTTAAATTATTATGTAATCGATTTTTCAGTACAAATGCAAATAACCAACGACACTAATAATGTACTACTATATTCCGTTCTTTGAAACGGAACACTGCTATAATACAAAATAATGAAAAATTACTGTTCACAACGATTCATTAAAAGCATCATCGAATAATGCGTAATAAAATCCTGTTATCGATTATTAAAAAAAATCGATAATACATGTATTTATTTATAATATGACAACACTTCATACATAAGTATTATTGGAAATATTATTACTTGCTTGTTCGGCTATTTTTAATTTACTTAAAAAATTTTTATATGTTTAATTTACAATAATAATATATTAAGTGCTTATTATTGGAAAATATAAAAAAGACATTTAATTATGCCGATACAAATTGACGACAATGCCATCTATGAAAGCATTTTGAAAACATTGAGCCCCATATTAGCACTGATTAAAGTGTAATTAAGTACTGGAAAATAACAAAATGAGTAAATATATGAAAATTACTTTTCTAAACGCATTATTTCATTTTAACATGTATATATAACTTTTTAAAAATTGATTAAACATTTTTGAAAACACAGTTTTGTTTTTTAAAACGTTTGCAAAACTATGAAGAATTCCATCGATACCAATCACGCCATCTATATGCAACTTTTAGCAATAATAATGGCTACTTCCTCATTGAGTGCCACTGGTATGGACTTTCGGTATTTTTTTCCTATGGTGCATATAGTAGTTTTTTTACGTCCGAAAAGTCAAGAGATTTATACTTATAAATATCTAAGTATAAATATCTCTTGACTTTTCGGATTAAATAAGTTTTATAAACAATCCATGGATCATCCTTACACCTGAGAGTATGGTGACAAATTGCTTTTAGGATCAGTTTTCTTTGCAAGGTTGCTACTAAATTTGTTTTCACGTAAATTGGCTTATTCCACCCTGCAACTGAAACATAGCTTACAAAGCAAGCTGCTTGGCGGCTGAAATACTGAGATTGAGTTACTTATCCTTGGCGAAGTTAGGCATTAGCTTAACATTAATTTTCAGAATTTACCAAGCAGATGAGATTTTACGTAGCGAAGTTTGAATAAGGGCCAGCACAATAGATCTATACAGGTTACAGTGTCACAGGTCTTAGCACCTGATCATCATCATCATCATCATCGCAGCCCGGAAGACGTCCACTGCTGGACATAGGCCTTTATTATATATTAGCACCTGATAATATCCCAAAACCCCTAATTTAAAAAAAAATTTAACCTTTTATTGCAAATAATAATCTGGAAGCTAATGAGAGTTTATAACGACTAGTTTTTCATATTAATGTGTCTTTTTTAGATTATGTTATACCTCGTGTGGTTGGCGGTAATTGTTGCCGCTTCGGCGCTGTACTTCCGCCAGCTGTACTCCAGATTCTCCAGATATGGGGTGAAAACTTTCAAGCCCATCCCCATCTTGGGCAACATGTTCAGAGTCATTATGCGGATTGATACCTTCGCTGATGATGTCCAGAGATACTATGACGGATTTCCGGGAGAGAGGTATAATTTATTTTTATTTATTTTGTTTTTATCTTCTAGAATTATTCTTTTGTTCTATCTTTTATCCACTGAAAACATAAAACATGTCAAAAATGAGTGGAGTCATTGCTACATATGTATGTATTTTTTTATTATATACATATATTTTAGTTAATCTTGTATTGTTTTTATTTATATTGTAAAAGTTCAGTGCTTTTAATTATTTATTTTCTTTCTTTGGATTTAAATTGGAACAGTATTGGAGTATTCAAAGGTGTATATTAAGTTTATTTCAATACATAATATTTCTTTGTGGCCTTAATGGTTTCGTCTGAGTGCTACGTGCAATTTTTGAATTTTATTAAAACATTATCATTACATAATACTCGACTCCAATGGTATCTATCACTATTTATGGCTATTTTACTGTTATTTTAAATAATACGAAACGATGATAATTATTGGATCTTTTTATTACGACTTCTCTAAAACAAGTGAGACAGTACAGGTTACTGGATATTGACTTCAGGAAATATATCGAAATAGATACGTAAAGAAATTACGATTTCTAACAGTATTCAAATTTACTTGTAAAGGTTATTTTAAAAGAGTATCAAAATTTACTTATAAAGATTATTTCTATTTTTTGACTGAAGTAGGTAGTAGATATGAAAAATGATATTTAAAAAAGTGATTGATTCATAGTTCCATACAAATATACGTTACTCGAAGTGACTGTCTAGATGATGCAAACGTCGTGAAAATGAGCAATTAGTAATATGTACTAATAATAGATAAATTAGTCTTAACATAAATAACTTTATACGCAAAAAAATTACGTTATGATAAACTGATAATATGATTATCACAATAAATGATTTTTCCTTTGTGTATTGATTACTGAAATCACTTTATCAATAAATCCTTATAAGGTTGATAACAGATTTTTAATGTTTGTTGTTGATTGTTTATAGTGATTCGTTTAAATATTAATTTATGCAAATTAATACTAATATATTTGTTATATTATCTCATAAGCTTTACCCGCTGCTTCGTCTGCATTTTCATCCCGTAAGACCTTTTCTTTCTTTCTTTACAACTACACTTTAATTACGAAGAAAAAAATTCCTAAGAGTTATGTTAAGTATCCATTTTTTTAATTTGATACTAAGAAATATAGGATCTAGGTTCAAAACATATTTGTATACAACAATTTCATACAATTACAGTTAGATATTATTAGATAATATTTTTTATTTAGATAATTTCTAGTTTTATTATTTCTATAATTTTTATATAGTTATTATTATTTATTCTTTCTCTTATATATTAATTTATTAATTATAAAAATTAGTTGATCCGACATACATTTATCCAGTCCTAGTTAATGAGCAAATAGTTCTGGAATTATTGAATAAATTGCAAAATCTTATTAATTTTAATGTAGATCCCGTAAAAACCTTCTGCAAATTATATTAAAAATCAAAAATAAAAGATGAAAGAAATCTGTTAAATTGTCTTCTAGTTATGTTCTAGTTTCACATGGGTGCATTACAAATCTTTGCATTTCTGAGCTTTTCTGTAATACAAAATGCATGTATTGGACACGTATTCCTTTCTTTTAAATCACTCTATCAGTTACTGAAAACTGCACTAAAATCCGACACGTAGTTTAAAGAACCGAAACGTAAAGACACAGGCGGTAAGTTTGTTTTTATGTAAAGATTATGAAGTTTAATACCTACTACAAGTTTAAGATATGATAATAACCATTACGTAAATTGATATTTAGTCTTTGTTATTGATTTTTACACTCATCCGAGTTCATATTGCGTCTATCTTGTCCTGATAAGGTTTGTTATCTCATAAATTCTTGAAATAGATTTTTCGTTTAAATAATTTGTGATTATTTATAAATTTATACTAATGTCTACGCAAGAGTCTACTTGTCTGTATGCTGCCTTTTTTTATAGTCTTTATTTGAGGGATTAGGATTATAAATATATATATTAGTGTATGAAATTTTATACCGGCTGTAATTATGTGTAAATTTCTAGTATCCTATATTCATCATCATCTCAGCCTGGAAGACGTCCACTGCCAAACAAAGGCCTCCCCCAAAAATCTCCACGACACGCTGCTCGCATCCATCGCTTTCCAGCGATCTTGACCAGATCGCCGGTCCGTATCCTCTATTATTTAACGAGAAAATATAATAAACCATAAAAGATATATAATTTGCATTTTAGGTTTGTCGGGAGATACGAATTCTTGAATCCGATGGTTATAGTCAGGGACCTCGAGCTGGTGAAGAAAATCACTGTCAAGGACTTTGAGTACTTCCTCGACCATCGGTCGTTTGTCGACGAAAAAGTGGACCCCTTCTTTGGAAGAAACCTATTCTCGCTAAAAGGTCAGTTCATAATCGCACAGCATAAACATTTGTATTCATGAGTATGATTGTTTGTATCGGTCTGGGTGTTTTCTATATATAATATGTATATATTTACAAGAAAAAATATCTATATATGTATATGTATCAGTTATCTAGTACCCATAACACAAGCTTTAGCTAGCTTAACTTGGGTCTAGATGGCGCTGTCTGAATTGTCCTTAGATTATTATTATTATTATCTCGTAAAAATTTCTACTTATAAAGCTGAAATTTCTACAAAAAAAAGTCAAATATTATAATATAACCTTGTTATTTTTAACGACAAATTGTATGCATATGAATGATGAAACATGGGACTGAGATGCGAAAGTTAAGATGAATGAGTGGAGTCATCTCTCACCTCATCTCTCGTCAACAAGGAATGAGTAATACACAAGAAATTGTGACAGTTTCACCAGTAAAGAACAAGTTTCGTAAGTTACACCTTAAGATAAAAGCGGTTATTTTGGTGTGGACACATCATGTGGTAAAGTGTAAATATGTTTAAAGAATGTATTGTACATAAACATAAATTTGAACGTAGGTAGACTTATAAAGTCTACCTACGTACATAAACATACATTCATTCATTCATGATTCAATATTCATCATCCACCCTTCATTATTCTTCATACATTATCTATCTTTTATCATTCATAATTCATCATTTAGTCATTCAAAATTATCCCTGGGTACATTTTTCTCTCCTATTACTGCCACTAAGCAGCTTGCTTTCTAATCTGTAATTTGGTTTAGAATAGAAGATGAATAAATAAATAAAAAAGCAGAAGAGATATCGCGACAAAATTACTGGGTACGGCAAACATTTTAGTCCTCAGAAATGGTACATTTTAATTATTTATTTATTTTCCAAAGCATAACATGCTTACTTAATACAATAATATTTATGTACATTTTACTGAAATAGGTGTTATTTTGCGGAAGTCCATATCATTACTTAATAGATTTATAATACAATATTTTGTTTAACTCCGCTACTATTAGCTTGTGGGAGACCACAAATATTCAGAATTGAAACTTAACCACAGTAGGCTTCCAAGCTATATCCTAGCCCATATACAATGGACCGTATGCTTGTTTGCCAATATTGTACGTAGTTTAAAGAAATAATAGTTTGTAAATGTAGGTGTATTATGTTTACAGGCCAAGAATGGAAGGACATGCGATCAACTTTGAGTCCAGCATTCACCAGCTCCAAGATACGACTGATGGTGCCATTTATGGTAGAAGTTGGTAATCAGATGATAGAAGCTCTTAAGATGAAGATAAAGAAATCAGGAGGTAAATATTATACATAGTTCTGTAAGAGATTGCTTAAGCGATAAGACCGCCTTTTATACCTAAGTACTCTCTTTTCTTTTGTATGTTTTTTAAATAAATAAATTAACAAAACAATTGAAAGAAAATTGGAACTATTAGTATGACGGGCACGGTGGTCTAGCTGTTTAGTGCTTTATTTCCAATGGTCGCAGGTTGGATTCCTCATACGGTACTTACCTTTGTATTCATGTATATGATTGTTGGTATTGATCTGGGTGATTCTATGTATATTATGTATGTATATACAAAAAAATCTAAGTATTATATCAGTGGTCTAGTACCCATAACACAAGCTCTGCTTAGCTTGGGACTAGATGGTGCTATGTTAATTGCTGGACAATTAACACAGGTTATTTATTTATTTATTACTATCTTTAAATCAATGCTGCAGTAGATTTAATATCAATAAAACTCAACTGTGGGACGAGTAGTTTAGTAAATACACATTTAGTTTGCATACAAATTACAACGCTTGCGTCATCTATCTGTATGTATGTCCGACTCCGCATCCATCAAGTTTAATTAATTAATCCAATACAATCTTTCGTCCTAGTTGAATGAGTTGTGGTTTAGTGGCAAACCACTAGGCCAATGTTTCCCAACGGGCCCACGCACCACAGGGGGACAGTTTAATTATAAAAGGGGCAATTCAAAAATAGACTCTTTATCCACACTTATATTATAAAGAGGAAAGATTTGTATGTTTGTAATGAGTGATATCAAAAAACTAAGACAATCTAACTTAAAATCAGGTCCAGTAATTCAGTGTGACAGTACAGGGATATTATTATTTATATTACAAAATGAAAGACAAAGTTTGAAAAACGTTTAATAAATGTCTTTTATGATCTCATATAAATAAAAAGTTTGATTATGATATATTTTTACTATCTAGTTTTTTTTCATGGGATGAAAATGGAATGGGGGCACCATTCCATTTTCATCCCATGAAAAAAACTAGATAATAAGACAGTATTCTTTTAGTAAACTAGTATTTTTACTATCCAGTTTTTTTATGGGATGAAAATGGAATGCTGCCCACGCCTGCGCTATCGGTATATGCTAGCGAGGCGCTAGTAGAGAATAATAAGATGAGTATGAGGTCAGGCCACTTAGCCCATCGTGGCATTTAGCACGGTAGGCTAAGTGACTGAATTTTAACATAATGGTTTCCAGGAGGAACCGCGTGGAGGTCGACCTGATATTTCCAGCAATTCATTAATCCACTTTATTAACAATCCCCTCTTTTACTTTCTAGTTGACTATATCGATTTCGATGCTAAGGACTTGACAACTCGATATGCTAATGACGTCATCGCATCCTGTGCATTCGGCCTGAAGGTGGACTCTCTGAAGAAAGAGGACAACGAATTTTATAAGAAGGGAAAAGAAGCTTCTACATTTGGATTCTATCAAATTCTTAAATTGTTTGGCTTTCTGTCAGCTCCAAAACTTATGTCGGTAAGTGAATTCATTGGTTTTTTTTAATGGATGATTAAATGATGGTATGGTGCACCCGCCTGCGCTAACGGTTTACGCTGGCGCGGCATCAGTGGATGATGATATGAGTATGACGTCAGGTCAGTTGTTCCACCGTGACAAATGCATCAAGAATTTATCACAATGATTTCCAGGGGAACCGCTTGGTCAACTGATTTGCTACACTGCTAGCAATGGACTAATAAGTTCAAATTACCAACAATTATTCTCCCCATCATCCCCTATTTTATTCGTTAGGGGTATGGTAATAAAATTTCTGGCTAAAGCATGTTGAGAATCAAGAAAACCGACTTCCATTGAAACCAAGCAGATCTGGGTTACATTATTGCAAAAATGTCCCGAACTAAGCAGAGCTTGTGTTATGAGTACTAGTAGACTGATATAAATACATTACATTTTTTTTCTAAATACATATCCAGACCAATGCAAAAAATCATGAATACATATGTTTGTACCGAACAGGGAATCGAATCCGCGACCATCGGAAGTAAGGCGGAGTGCTAAACCGCTAGACCTAGATTGAGACTAACATTGTTTATTTATTTATTTATTCATTAAATTTGAACATTCATCTATATTATGTTAGTAAGCGAGTTATAAACTATGATAGTTATCCATATATATTCTTATAATACCAATTCATGTATCTACATACAAAAGCACTGGGTCCGCAGCAGTGCAATGTCCAGTGCCTCTGGACCGTACAATATTTGCCATAATATTTAGGTGTTATTACCATATTTATGAGATATACCGAACCGATACAATATCGGAACCTTCAAGAAAACAGCTTATTCCTTTTTAAAAGGCCGATAACGTACTTGCAATTCCCCTGGTGTTACGGGTGCTCATGGGGCGGTAATCACTTACCATCAGGTGAGCCGCATGCTCGTTTATCTTCTGTGTTATAAAAATATATATATATACTTACATGTTAGGAGATATAGTGGTTAATACTATGTATATATGTGTATGTAATACCTCGCATGTGGTAATTGAATACTGGACTGTCAAGATCAAGTACAAGGTTATTCGTATGCCGACCGCATGACACCGTAAACAGACAAACAGAAACGAATTAATGAATCACAATATTTTGTGTCGATCAATGTTTGATTTTATAAACAGTCTCAGTGGTCGAGCGGTTTACGACATCGCCTCACTTCCGATGGTCGCGGGTTCGATGTATTAATGAGAAAGATTGTATACATCAGTTGTGTTATGTTTCATTATGTGAATGGGTATTTATATAAAAAAATATTTAAGTATTTCCATCCTTGTGAAGTACCCATAACACTGATTCTATTGGAACTTATTTGCGCTGTGTGAATTATTCTGGTTACAATACTTTTTTCCGCCCTTCACGCTCCGCTCAATAAAATAACTAATAATAATAATTACACTAGATATTATTAGTTGTCTTGTTTATTGAGCGGAGCGTGAACCGTGGAGCCATCTTATGCCCAATTTACACTCAGCCCGAGCGGGCAGGGAAGTGAACACGGAACTGAGCAGCGCGAGAGTAAACACGAGTGGAAACACTTCCCATGCCATAGGCGCTGCCACTCGCGCTGCCCGGTGCTCCCGCGATTGTCGGTTTTTCGTGCGCGAGTCAAAGGACTGGCAGCGCGAGTGGCAGCGTGTTTCTACATTCAGTGCTCTCGCTCAGTTGTCGCCCGGCAATATTTCCGGCAGCGCGAGTGGCAGGGGAAGCGGTTGAATGTAAACGTAGCATTTAGAGATTAGATTTGCACTCTTTGTAACGATTCTCCTCCAAAACCCCTTAAAAAATTGACCATCCTTGAATTACTGTCTGATACTGACTGTACATAATACATCAATTATACAGATTGTAGAGACCAGTTTCCTGCATGTAAACAGTTGGCAACAACAAAGCTATTATCCAAAGATCAAATTAATGTCGAAACTGTTTTTATTACACGCAATCATTATACGTCATTTGATTTATCATCAACATCATTGCCTTGCCTTTATCCCATTATTTGTGGTCCCATGTTATCCTCTTCCACTGATCCCTATCGGTCGTAATATTTGAGCTTACTCTCCTTTTATTCATATCATCTTTCACACAATCAGTCCATCTTGTTTTTGGTCGTCCACTCCCTTTCCATCCATCCACGTTCATGGTAAACACTATGATTGGTTATGGTCCTCGCCCCTACGCATAACATGCCCATATCAAGTCGCTCTGTTACCTTCAACTTCTATAACTGGTGCAATTTTCAATCTGCCTCGTATATACCTACACATTCCTTATTCTGTCATTCCTAGTTAACCCACACATTTACACACATAAACAACCAAATAACAAAGAAAGGAAAAGAGGAAACAAAACAAGCGCGAAATAACTCGATTTTTATGAATAGGGGCAATAAAAAAAGATTAGGAGGTAGGGGATTGCTAGTGATGTGGATTAATAATCTCATTGCTAGAAATGTACCATGTCAGAATGACCTCCATGCGGTTCCTTTTGAAAATATCATGTTAAATTCCTGGTGAATTTGCCACGATGTACTAACTGACCTGACCTCACACTCATCCTATCATCCTCCACTGGTGGCGTTAGCACAGGCGATACAGTCGTAATTGCATTATCATCCCTTAAAAAAAAATCTAAGAAATGTAGATTTAGACCCAATGACGATTCAGACTAGATGCGTCTGGAAACGGTTGATACGGAGAGCCAATCCTAATTAAAATGAGATAAGGCCGGAAGGGAGAGAAAAAAAGATTTATATTATAAATCTAACAATATTATCAGACTTATACTATAGCTATTACCCGCGAGTTGCTCTGCTTTATATATGTATTTACAAAAAAACACATCTATGTATTTATATCAGTTATCTATTACCCAAAATACAAGCTCTGCTTAATTTGAGACTAGATGGATTTGTGTGAATTGTTCTGGAAAAAAAAATCTATGCAGGTCGCAGGTGCACCTGACAATAGCCCAAACCCTCAATAAATATCAGTACGTTATCATAAACTTTTTTTTTGTAGCCAACTGTAGGTAAATTGTTGATGAATACATAGAGTATTATGTATTAATTATGTATTATTAACAATCTATCTACATAGTTGTTATATACACTCATAAAACTCTACATTGTATATGTATTGTATAGAAATAATTATTTTATATGTTCGTGACAACTTTTAATTACAGTCATTTTCATTAAAAATATACTCATAAATTTATATAACTCAACTCGTGATGAGGTGATCGTATATATATTATATAAAGACGTAAATGATCCTACCTTATTTATGTGCCTTAAGACTCCTACCAAAATGGTTTTTTTCTTATTATAATTTAACATCTTTTATTATTATTATTTTATTAATAACAAACATATGAAACGTATAAAGGCGCTTAATTTTAGTAATTCTATATCATTATTATATTGATTGAACAAATCTAGACACGCGGCAGCGTGTCAAGCCGAGTTTCAAGTAAACTGGCCTGCAGCACCGTGTGTATATTTACACGAACCATTTGGAGCCACTTTTGACCCCCTCATAACTCAAAAACTCTTTCACACAAACCTGTCAAATTTGGTTCATATATTGAGACTTGCGAGATAAATATGTGTTCCAAATTTCATAAACATATCTCAAACGGTTATTTAGATATTAATGTCCAAAAATTGTCATTTTTATCACTGATCAACTATAGATCAAAATTATAATCCACTTCCAGATGACCTAGGAAGTTCAATTTTGGTATGCAGATAGGTAATTAGGTGAATATAAAGGAAAAAATCTGAAACTGGTAAATTGTTATCATTTTACTACAATTTTTCACTTTAATTGATTCTATGTCAACTTATACTGGACGAGTACTAAAATTCTATGAAAACGTCGATAGCCACCAATTGACATTGATCCCTGGCGAAAAATCTCATCTTGTACTGGACGAAAAGTAATATTGTATGAAAACGTCGATCATTACCAATTTACGTTGACCCCTTCACATCAGTGTCGATAACTAGCAAACTTCAAATATTGCATTGAGCGGTAAACACTAGTTGCTATAATTTAGATTCTGTCTAAAATATACTCGTACTTATAACTAGGAGTATAGTCGAACTTCGTATTTATTATGTTATTAACTGAGATTTGGTATTAATTATTGTTTCAATATTTAGCGCACATCGATAGTGTAAAATCATTATTTTTATAAATAATTATTAAATAATAGGCATTTCGGTATAGGGCGCCGTGTGGGAGCGGTGCGATAAAACTCAATGTTTTGTTTCTGGATATCTAGTTGCGAGTTATGCTACGAAATTTATAGCTTTCTTAAATTATACTTATATATTTGTGATTATATTTAATTTAATTATTACATTATTTTAGTAAATACGTATGGTATAGACAATAGTTTAAACCAAAAATTAATAACAATTTTAGTATAGTTATAAGTAGGAATGTATAGTTAATTCGAGATTGAGAACTCATTGGTAACAAATTGTTTTCTTGAGAATTCAATAGATAACAGTCAATATGTTACATAATCGTCTTTATGAACTATAACGTGTCAATACGAAGTTTCAGATATTAAATAATGTATATGTTGGTAGAGAACAATTCCGTATTTGCTTAACATATGCTATTACTATCCACAAATCACAAGGCCTTAGTTTTGGCAGTCCTCTTCTCAACATAGCCTCCTCTATATTCAATAAAGGGCAGGTTTACGTTGGACTCTCCAGAGTTAAAACCTTAGATGGAGTACGTCCTAACAATTTAGATCCAAGTCACGAGAGCTCTATTGTAGAGTACAACCATCTGTGGACGTTATACCGCCCCGATTTGCCCAAAAATTCCTAATACTGAATTGGCATTGCACTTGAACATTTAAAAGTTACAAGAAAATATAGAAAATAACACAAAAAAAGACAATTATACCCCGTAAATATACGAAAATACAGTAATTTATCAAAAATAATTTGGTATTAATTTAGTTATAAATAAGTACCTCGTATAATTTATGTACAAAAAGTAATGATATCCCATCAAAAACATAAATGTGAAATGATAGCCGAGTTTAATATTATGATATATGCCTTGATTGTTGACTTCTACGACAAAAGAGATGAGATCTAAATGGGTGCCAAGTTCAATGGTCTGTCCTGAAATGTATTTATAACAATATAAAATATCATTTCTTCTTATAACTTAGGATAATATACTGTAGCCTAAGGTCTAACTTGGCTAGTTTTCATATACGAAATATACTGTAGCCTTCGCAAGTTCTAAACATGTTACTTGTCGGTTCCTATTTTAATATTAATAGTAACTAGCAATCGAAAGTAATAATTGGTATATGAGAACTGGCCAAGTTAGACCTTAGGCTACAGTATATTATCCTAAGTTATAAGAAGAAATGATATTTTATATTGTTATAAATACATTTCAGGACAGACCATTGAACTTGGCACCCATTTAGATCTCATCTCTTTTGTCGTAGAAGTCAACAATCAAGGCATATATCATAATATTAAACTCGGCTATCATTTCACATTTATGTTTTTGATGGGATTTATATTTAACCGTTACATCTGTTTTGAACGTCTCCGATCGATCCCCCGTCCAATTCAAACGGGGATCGAAATTACGACGGCCTGAGCCGATGTTCGGACACCCTAGCGGTGCCCTCAGACTAAAGTCATGTCTGTCAGGCAGGAGTTGACCTTCAGCCGCTCGATAAATCCTTTTGCGGATTTGGATTGCTTTCAGCACTCGTCCCCTATCGTCCGGTGAAGCTGTAAAGGCCAGCTGCGGCCTGCAGCATTAGAGTATTACAGTAGTCCGAACAAAGAAGGAACTGTTTTGTTCTTCTCTGAGAAGAATGTGATAAAGTACTAAATTATAAATATTATAATAATTAATTAAATAGTACTTAATTAACTAGTAGCGACTTCCTACAGCCTACCATTATCTGGAAATATTTTTGTCTGTTTATATATCAGTCGAAAAAAAAATTGCACCTACTTAAAGTGACACTTTTTATAGTTCTGTCCTGTTTAATAAAGCATCTGTACATATTTATGTATATGTGTATATAATAATATTCTTTAGTCACTTCTATTTTAATGTAGAATAAATTTAACAACTAAATTAGAAACTCCATTTTCTTCATATAGTATGCTTTATTACACAGTTAAGCTTTAGTTAACGGTATGTTAACAAGGTCTGCATCTGAAGTCGAACTGGTTTGTTAACTTTGTAATACTGCAATAATAAATTTAATAATTAATAATAGATAGATATATAAATAACTTTACTATTCCCATATTTACATACATTTAATAATTGTCCTGTAAAACTCTTGTCGGAGTTTGTCTACATTCTCTTTTATCTAAATACGTTTATGTATATTATACTAGCTGTCCCGGTAAACGTTCTATTGCCATATAAATTATAGTACTAATATCGCTATTAAAAATAGCGGTTGGTTTTAGAGGGAAAATTTAAGGCTGTATGCATTTTAATGCCGTTAATATTATATATTTACCATGTAATTATTCATGTAATTAATTATAAGCTTTGTTACATATCTACTAATTATACCTTTAAATAAATAAATAAAAATAAAAAAAATTGTCGATAAAATGAAAAAGAAATTTTTGGGGTGAGCCACCCCTAACACTCACCACTAATAAAATACTTATAACCCTATTCTCAGAATATACATATAAAATTTCATCAAAATCGGTCCAACCGCTTCGGAGGAGAATAAACACGAAACATGTGACACGTGAATTTTATATTTTAGACAGCATTTTTACGCGTTTTTACAACATTTATATATTATATACTGATAAATTAGGAAAAAAATTATGATATGTATGTTAAGTTTTTAGATTATTACATGGTTTTTAGCTTTTATAATTTATGCAAAAGGATTTATAGCTATTTTGATATCTAATAAAACAATATATTTCTTATTATAATTACAGAAACTGAAATTTAGACTCTTCACAAGTGCCACTACCTCGTTCTTTAAGACCTTGGTGCTGAGTACCATGAGGAACAGGGAGGAGCAAAACATTATCAGACCCGACATGATACATCTACTCATGGAAGCCAAGAAAGGTAGGTTTCAATTAAAAAGGTGTTCAATTTACATATTTTTACCTAATAAGAATTTACACAGCGCCATCTAGTGCCAAACTAAGCCGAACTTGTGGTATGGGTACTAGACAACTGATATAAATAACTTTTTTTTTAATAAAAGGTATACACTATACATATAGGTAACACCCAGGCAAATACGAATAATATTACGATATTTGTTTGCGTCGTGCGAGGAATCGTACCTGCGACCAGAGGAACCACTAGACCACGAAGGACGTCTAATTCGTCTAAGAATACACATGTATACATATAACAATATGAGTTATACATGTATGTATTCTTACATGATTACGGTGAAGCTATAAGTAGGGTTTTGAGAAAGAAGGCCAGGCAGACTATTGTAATTTTTTCCTAATAAATTAGCTAACAAACACACGTACACGATAATTATATCTATTATTAGTTATTAGCCGAATTATTTTAAACGCATATTTAGTAATAATTTTATACCTACTTACGTCTAATCATTTTTTAAAAAAGATAAGGAAGGCAGTGACCGTTTATTTACGAGGTCACTGATCAGATATAGATAAAAAAACTAAAATATATTCATGGCCATAGCACAGAGCGCCATCTAGTCTCAAACTAATGAAACTATGCAATTGAAAGTTAAAAATATTCCTATTTCAATGCTACGGTTTTGACAGAGAAACATCAAATCCAAAAATGGACGCCTGAAACACTATCCTATATATATTTTATCTATACAAATAAATAAAATTTAAGTGTCTGTTTTTCACCAAATGCATATGAAAGTGTATACAATACTTACATAAAAAAATATTAAAAAAAATATTTTAACGGGACTCGCAGATAACTAATATTATAAGGAGTGACTTAGGCTACTTTTATTTGAGAAATACAATATATTCATCCACGCGGTCGAAGCGCAGATACAAAGCTAGTAAATTTTATGAGAAAACATAATTACCCAAGATTTTAGTACAGAAATATAGTGATGGTAAATGAATTATGAAATTTCCCTATTTATAGAGGTCATTTAAAATCCATTAAATTAATTTGTTTCTTGAAATCTAATCAATTAGTCTTTATTAACAGGAAAATTGACATTCGACGATAAAACAAAACAAGATGACCACGCCGGATTCGCTACTGTTGAAGAGTCAAATGTTGGAAAAGAAGATATAGATAGAGGTAAATAAAGACTATATTATAATTGTTTTACTACCTTAGTGCTGTTTTAAGAATTAATAATGGAAACATATCTGACCAATTGGAAACTATATTAAGAGAACCTTGTTATATTTGTTTTTCGAACTATTCTAAAATTGTATCTCTGTTGGCCGCAGCTGGCCTGTACAGCTTCACTAAACGATAGGCGAGTGCAAATGACACTCCAAACCCGCGGAAAGACTCAAGGAACGGCTGAACGCCAATTTTTTTTAATTTATTTGCATACTAGCTACTATCTACCCCGGCTTCACACGGGTGCAAATGTATTATATATATAAACCTTCCTCTTGAATCACTCTATCTATTAAAAAAACCGCTTCAAAATCCATTGCGTTGTTTTAAAGATTGAAATATAGGGACAGACAGCGACAGCGACTTTGTTTTATACTATGTAATAATGAAGTAGATTCATCATCATCATCATCATCTCAGCCCGGATGACGTCCACTGCTGTCCAAAGGCCTCCCCCAAATATCTCCACGACAATCGGTCCTGCGCTGATAACATCCAATGCCTTCCAGCGATCTTGACCAGCTGGAGGCCTTCCCACGCTGCGTCTTCCGCGGTCGCCACTCGAGGGCATTGCTGCCCCAACGGCCATCTGCCTATGAGCTATGTGCCCTACCCATTGAAGTAGATTACTCAATGATTTTTTTTTTACAGATTGGTCAGACGTCGATTTAATAGCTCAAGCTGTTCTATTCTTCATCGCTGGCTTCGAGACTGTATCCTCAGCGATGTCATTTGCCCTTCACGAGTTGGCTCTCAATCCTGAAGTACAAGAGAAACTGGCACAGGAGATAAAAGAGAATGACATTAAAAATGGTGGGAAATTCGACTACAAATCCATTCAGGAGATGACGTATATGGATATGGTAATTTCAGGTGAGTAATTACATTTATTGTATGGTAAAATTTGTAAGAAAGGATTATTTATATTACGCTGTAGATTATGAAAGGCCGACAACGTACTTGCAATTCCCCTGGTGTTGCGGGTGCTCATGGGCGGCGGTAATCACTTACCATCAGATGAGCCGCATGTTCGTTTGTCCCCTGTGTTATAAAAAAAAAAATGAGACGTCGAGAATTTTAGCAAGTAAACTTTGTGCAGTCGTGGACGTGGATATCTCTGTTTTTTCCGCAAGTAAGAGATATCTTTTGTAAATAAGAGAAATCAGCAATAGATTAAACATTAAAATATATTATAATATCAAGTTTACACATTGACATAAGAAAAATTCCTGAGACATAAAAGTGACATATTCTATGTATCTACAAACAATTAATTCTACGATGGCCAGCATTATACATCCAACAATATCTCCTTAGCGATAAGGCCGTTCATTATTTCCACAAAGTATATAAAAATAAGTACTATTCTATAGACCTCCCAACATAATTATTGAAATTATTTTCAGAGGTTCTCAGATTATGGCCGCCGGCAGTCGCTCTGGATAGGCTGTGTGCTAAAGACTATAATTTAGGCAAACCCAACAGTAAAGCAACCAAAGATTATGTTGTAAGTAATAAATGTCTTTTAACCACTTATTTGACTTTGCTAAACCCTAATTTGGCTATTAAAACAATCCTCCAGGCAAAGTATAGAGGACAGATCGATATTTCTACCTTGTACCTCGATGGACACATTACCTTCTACTGCCGTGTTTTTTTTCAAATTATTCTAATGCTCGCAGATACGCAAAGGTGAAAATCTTGGAATACCAACTTGGGCCTTCCACCGGGACCCTCAGTACTTTCCAAATCCCCTGAAGTTCGACCCGGAACGTTTCTCTGACGAAAATAAACACAACATACCACCTTCTGCGTACATGCCGTTTGGATTGGGTCCCAGGAACTGTATTGGTAAGTAAAAAGATTTCTTAAAATCACTATTCCCACTAAGTACTAAATAGCTAACTCAATGATTTCAATTTTTATTAAAATCGACAATACTATAGTTATTTCTCAACTTTCCTGTTTAATACACGTATTTCTATTGTTAAACAGGTTTTAATATGAATAATTTTATGGTAAATAAAGGTAATACCTCTCTCAACCTTACGACTAGGTTGCAACGACAAACAAACATCCAAACTTTTAATTACCATACAATTTTTAGTTAACGCAGTTTATCAGTAAGCCAGCTATAATCTGTGCCTGCAATGATAAAAAAAATCAATTTATTTACTATATTTTTCATAATCAGGTTCAAGATTCGCGCTGTGCGAAGTGAAAGTGATGCTGTACCAACTGCTGCAACATATGGAGCTGACACCGTGTGAGAAGACTTGTATACCCACCAAGCTCAGTACTGATACTTTCAACCTTCGCATCAAAGGAGGTCACTGGTTGCGTTTAAAACAAAGAACATAGGCATTATATATTGTTATAAAATACTATAAATAAATTAATTTAATTAAACTTTTTTATATTTAATATTAATTATATAATGTTATAAAGATATAAATAAATTATTTTCATATTTAAGTTAATTAAACTTTTTATATCCAATTGGTTTTAATTTTATTTAATCCACTATATATATAATAAGGAATAAGGAAAGGTCAGCAACGCCCACGAGACAGTCCTGGTGTGTCAGGCGTCCTTTGCTATTGTATGCCACCATCGTGGTAGAAAAAAAAATGTTTGATCGATTTAAAATCTCATACAGAGTTATATGAGTTTTAAAATGTTCTCATACGTATAAGAGGATTACAAATCTCACTAAAGCGAACCTCATTAAACCTGAAATGTGGAATAGCGGCTTAAAACAGGTCTTCAGATTCTGTAAACCGTAAAATAAATTTATAAAAGTCTAAAAAAGAACATGTTCTATTGTCTATTGAGGGAAAAATGTTTCAAAAATTCTTTTATATTCTTCTGTTTCAAAAATTCATAACTCATATATTCATCGAGATAGAAAATTGAAAATTGATTAAATGTTTAATGTGATTGTAACCAATTTTATTTTAACCAACTTTTTAAAATATAAGACTATAAAAGATTTTTTGAAACACTTTAATACATGCTACAATACTATACTTTCTATATCGATAAATATATGAGTTATAAATTTTTTAAACAGAAGAATGTAAAAGAATTTCTTGTAAGAGTAAAAGAAGCTGTTTTTTTTAAATTCCGGCAATTCCGCTTACTTCCGTCGATATACAAACAAAATACATACAAAGTCATCAGGGTTGCAAACCATCACTACATTGGAAAATGGTCACGTTATAAGAGCTGCGAATGCAATACAAGAACTATTTAAAACGTAACAGAATTTGGGGGGAAAACGAGACAGTCATCTGGCAACACTGGCCGCGTGTCAGTAGAGATTTATCACTTCGAACATAACCTGTGTCCTGTAAACGCTTGCGCACCAAACAATAAAATCCATTTATTCGCACTACCACACTACACGCGTTTATTCTATAGACTGTAAAATCTATATATAGATATCTGTATCTACCTATCAAATTAAATCACACGCTATCTATTTGGGCAGCTTTATTTCACCGCTTTTCATCACATAACAGGCTTTTGCATCATCAAAAACGTATATCTGCTACCCACCTACAATTATTATCGCTAATCTAGTTGCTATTTGGTGATATAAATATAAATATAACATCAATACGCTATCTACCTACGTAATATGTAGTATTCGACAGGTTGTCATAAATACGGCCGGTCTCATCAGTTGAAGTGTTATTTATACATCGAGTATAGTGTTTAACATCAGTATTAAATAGTGTGATAAAATAAATGTAAATATATATTTAATCAATTTTAGTGTAACAAAATTTTGATGTAAATGTAAGTAATTAATCTTTACATAATTTGTTGTAATTCGTGGTGATCAATAAATATTGTGGTAATTCGAAAATTAAATAATGTTTGTTTGTTTGTTTGTTTGTTTGTTTGTTTGTAATACTTTATTGTACAATAATATTATAAATAAAAGGACACAATTGACTTAGAAAAAAAAAAAACATGCGTACAATGGCGGACTTATCCCAGAAGAGGGATTTCTTCCAGTCAACCTTTGAGTTACTGAGAGGAATTGCGCAGTGGTGGAAATAGGTACAATAAATAATACGCGTCACAATGACATATATAACTAATAATATATACAGAAAATACACAAAAATATATATACATATACATACATACACATACATATACACATACACATATACATACATATACACATACACACACCAGAAAGGAAAAGAAAAATAATGAAAATAAGTGGAGCATTAAAAAAGCGCAGACTCAGAATGACTCCAGAGCTTATTAAGATGTCTCTTAAGAGAACTGATCGAAGGCGATAGTCTAATCTGTGTGGGGAGTGAATTCCATAGGCGTGCTGTTTGTACAGTAAAAGATTTAGTGTAGCGGTGGCTTATATGATAAGGAATTGTGAGTATAAGATCATGACAAGAACGTATATGCTCACCAGTACGGAATCGGAATCTCTCCTGCAGGTAAAAGGGCGAATGGGGGTTGAAGAGGATTTGGAATAAGAGGGTAAGGAAATGAATATTCCGACGAACACGGATAGGAAGCCAGTTGAGCTGCTCACGGTAGGCTGAGATATGATCAAACTTTCGTAGACCAAAGATAAACCTGATACATAGATTTTGCAGCCGCTCCAGCTTATCAAGCAACTCCTCAGAGGGATCTAGAAATGCACTGTCAGCATAATCCAGTACGGGAAGAAGTAGTGATCGAGCCAGCAACAATTTGGTACCCAAGGGCAGGAAAAACTGCAGGCGTCTGAGAGAATGGAGAGATGAAAATAATCTGCGGCTTATGTCACTTATGTGAGGCCCCCAAGATAAAGTCTGATCCATGATTATTCCTAGATTCTTGACTTGAATGTAATATACGATTATATTGTAAAATTTAAAAATAGAATATGATTAAAGATGAAAGAGAAGATTAGGTCAAACTTTTTATTGAACGTTCATTCCAAATTTAAAATACTTAATAAATACAAATAATACTACAAATATTTTATTTTAAACTTTTCAATTTATAGTGTTCCATTTTTAAAATTTAAACAATTTGATCGATATTAATGCAGAATTATATGATCGATTCGTTACGGTAGATCTTCGATCGTTAAATGAGAGATTTAATTCTATATTTTGGTAGTTATATTGTTGATTCAATAGTACGTGCCTAATATCCTTGACTTTATCCGTCGCCAGCTGATTACGTAATTGGCTAATTGTACACCTATACGGAACGTTGACCTACCCATGCGTAAACATATACGCCAGTTTCATAATAACAATAACAAACTAAATTGTATTAGTATGTATGTGATATGTCTATGACTCATAAATGAAACATCGTAAGGGAAATAAATTTGGTAATAATAAATAATATCTCAGGACAACTCACACAGAGGCATCTAGTCAAAGCTAGTGTTATGGGTACTAGAAATCTGATATTTTTTTTATTAAATGTGTTTTTAATATACATAGAAAACACCCTATATATCTATATATAAAAGAACGATACAATCATGCTAATGAATACAATTGTTTGTTTGTATAATGCGAGGAATCGAACCCGCAACCATCGGAAGTAAAGCGAAGTGCTATTATATAAGTATATATTCCGTAGAAACAGGGAATAGTTGTTATAGTTTTTCAAAAAAAGCAGCGTACTAAACTGTTGGTTAATCGAGACCGTCAAATAATATGTCTATGCCATGCTATGACATATTATGACATATTATTTACTGTGTCAAATAATATGCTATGTTCTTTTAAAAAGATAACAATTAAACAGAGAAACTCATTTACGTTTTTCTTAAAATTTGCATTGACAGTATGGTCCGAAAAAAATAGTATTAAATAATTTAAGATTCATACAACATTAAAAGCATTCTTTTGAATTTAATTTTTTTTTTATTGTTTATTTCATTAATGATATCGAAGTTATTTATTTGTTATCTATTTTTAATTTAATTCATACATTCGATTGATTTATTGCTTCTGGGTAAGCTGGACTTCAGGACTTCAGGACGTAACGACACTTCTAATCCAAATTTATTTTATGCTTCGTGATGTTTCAAATACAATCGTAACTATTAATATAATTTGAATTTTTTCACTCAATATATTGATATCTTTAACAACACGTACAGGAGCATTATAAGATGCTATATTGTTAATAATATTACATTAAATACCTATTAAATTTAAACTAAAATATATTTAAATTCATAGAATATTTAGTATCATTATTCATAAATCACAATCAAATTTTGGTTGACAAAATTATTTAACTAAAGGAACATAGTTCTACAATCAGCTTTCATAGACGCACAAGTGTTTTATCATAGACGCACAAGTGTTTTATACCACGAATCATAATTATTAACAGTTTAGATTCCTTATATGTCAAGAGGCTTCGTGGCAACGAATTTACATCAATTTCTGAGAGAGTGCTAAGTTTGCAGAAATATGTACAATGTGTGATATGTTTTAAGGATATTAAAGAATTAAAATGAATTGGCATTTCCGAACTATTCTAAATCTTCTGTCATATTCTTCTGCTAGCTATAGTCAGCCAGAGAACGTAATGCTTCAAATGCAAATTAATTTAATGCTTCGTAATGCTTCAAATATAATCGTAACTGTTAATATGATAATAAGATGAGTTGGTATTTTCGAACTATTCTATATCTTCTGTAATATTCTTCTGCTAGCTATATTTGGTCTTTACAACTTTACTGTTATAAAGGAATAAAATAGGACCGAATGCATCAGAAGATTATAAACTGAAGAATAGCTTATGAAAGAAGAGGTTGAAAATCAACTTCTGAGATTAATTTCATAGAAAAGATTACAAAGTTTTTGCTTGCTTCATGTATTAATATTATATATAGATATGTACTTAGACATCTTAGAAACAACTTATTAAGACCCATATATGGAGTATGGTCTAATTCAAAATAAATTAATTTATAGAGTATAGCTTAATTAATTTTAATAAAAAAAAAGTATATATTTATTAATTTAACAAAAGTATTGTTAAATTAATAAACATACACGTATTTTTATTTTCATAATATTCCTCTAATTACCCTATTTTGTTTCCAGACAATGTTATACCTCGTGTGGTCTGTAGCAATCGTCGTAGTTCTGGCGTTGTACTTTCGCCAGTCATTCACCAGATTATCCAGATATGGCGTGAAACATTTCCCGACCCTTCCATTCCTGGGCAACGTGGGCAGACTCATGTTCGGCATTGACAACTTCGTTGAAGATTTAGATAGTCACTACAACTGCTTCCCGAATGAAAGGTTTGACTCTATTTTCTATTGTACATTATAAAAAAAAGTAGAGCTTGTGGTATGGGTACTAGTC